CTTTTGTTTTTTTTTTCAAGACAGGGTTTCTCTGTGTAGCCCTGGCTGTCCTGGAACTCATTCTGTAGACCAGGCTGGCCTTGAACTCAGAGATTCTTCTGCCTCTGCCTCCTGAGTGCTGGGATTAAAGACACGTGCCACCATCAATTAAGTTCCATATTTTCATGTTGTGCTAGGCTCTTGTCATAATTAGGTTCCTATTGCTGTGATAGAACACCATGACCAAAAGCAATTTGGGAAGGAGGGGCTTCATTTGGACTTACTCATCCCAGTTATAGTTCATCATGCAGGGAAGTTGCTAGGGCAGGAGCTGAAGCAGAGGCCATGGAGGGGTGCTGCTTACTGGCTTTCTCTTTGTGGTTTGCTCACCCTACATTCTTATACAACCTAGGACCACCAGCCCACTATGGGCTAGGCCATCCCACATCAACCATAATCAAGAAAATATCTCACAGATTTGCCTATAGGCCAATCGGATGGAAACATTTGCTCAATAGAAGTTCCCTCTTTCCAAACGATGTTGGCTTGTGTCAAGTTGACAAAAAACTAAGACAGCTCTGAAAATTATGTGCCCAGCCCTGACCTCATGACTTCAAGACATGTCTACTAGCAACAATAAAATTAGTTTCAGAGGACACTATCCCAGGATTTCTCTTGGTATGAACTTGCTCCTAGGCCTTGTTATACTTTTATATTGTGGTTTTCTGGTGAGACTAATATAATACTGTCTACCCTTTGGTAAGACAAAACCAATCTCCCAGACAAAGCTCTAAATAGATAGAAAAATGGCAATAGAACAAAATGGTAAATGTTTATTACAGGTCGTGAGGAATATCAGGGCACAAATTTCTAGCCTTTGCTTGGATCCAACGGAACTTATCTCCACAGCTTCACTTGAAAATATCAATAAAGCAATGTGTGGTGCATCTCTGTAGCCATACCCCAGACACAGCCTCCAGAGCCCCAAGAGGAAATGCTCTACCCTTCATGAGTTTCCAAGGCCCCAGGAGAATCATGCATCTTGTTCAGGTCAACAAGACTCAGTAAGCTGTCAAATGCATGCTTGCTCTGTGGCCTCAGTAAGGCTCAGATTCCTCAGTCTTCCTGGGCGGGTTAGATTAGCTTGTCTATTGAAATTCTGAAAGAAAATACTATACCCTTGAGTTTCCCAGAGAACAAGGCATGCAAAACCCCATCTATTAGACATGCACAGCTAGCCAGAGTCCTTCCACCAAAAATGAAATCTGAGTCAGAACTAGCAATAATCTGGGGCCTTGCAGACTGCCTGCACACCCTTCTTGAGCCCCCAGGGACATTCAAGTGGGTGTTAGACTAACACCTCTTACTGCATCCTCACATCTCTCTTGCTATCCTTTTTTTTTAATTTATTTTTATTTTATGTGCATTGGTGGTTTTGCCTGTGTGTATGTCTGTGTGAAGGTGTTCAAAGCCCTGGAACTAGAGTTACAGACAGGTGTGAGCTGCCATGAGGGTGCTGGGAATTGAACCTGGGTCCTCTGGAAGAGCAGTCAGTGCTCTTAACCACTGAGCCATCTCTCCGGCCCTCTCTTGCTATTCTTGAGGGTTCTATAGACAGAGCACGAGGATTCGTGAGCTTAAGTTTGCTCCAGAAGCCTCACCCCAGCCTCTTGTTTGGAGAGAGCAGCCCTTAGCAACACAGCCTAATTCTCTGGGTATTTCTAGGCTATTCTATGCTCCTTCCCAATGCCCACCCTCTATCTCTACATATGTGAAGGGCAGCGCCTTAAGAATCACATCACCAGGCTGCCCACCAAAACCCGGATGGAAAGGGTTAGCTGCTTTTCTGCCGGGATGAACCTGCTCTTGCCCACCTCCTTCCTGTTAGCCAGGACTCGGGGTAAAGGCTGTCTCCTGGGCCAGGCTGCACTGTAGCTAAAATAACACAAGTCTTTCTTCTTTTCCTTCTATCCAAAGATAACTGAAAATACACTTAAATTTTTTATTTTGTGTTTAAAATAATCTTCATGAAACTACTTTTAATGAAGTGTATAAATGCTTCTGATGCAGTGGTAAGTGGGGTCAAGAGCAGGATGTGTGACTGTGTACACAGGAGGACAAGGAGCCTTGCTTTGTAAACACACACACACACACACACACACACACACACACACACACACACACATTCAACACAGATTTCTTTTTTTGTTGTTGTTGTTTTTTTTGTTTGTTTGTTTGTTTGAGATATGGTTTCTCTGTGTAGCCCTGGCTGTCCTGGAACTCACTCTGTAGACCAGGCTGGCCTCGAACTCAGAGATCCACCTGCCTCTGCTTCCCAAGTGCTGGGATTAAAGGTGTGCGCCACCACCGCCTGACTAAACACCGATTTCTTTTAGGTGGTAGAGTTAGAGGTCATTCTTCATTTCTTTAAATGTTTGGCTGTTTTCTAGAAGAAATCATCTATATAGGTATCTGCTACTTTGATAATCCCGTGACAAACGATTATTTGCTTTCAGCTGGGACTTCTGAGAGACTGGGAACTGATTTAATGTACCATCGCAAAGGAGAGCAACGTCAAACTTCTCATCAAAGTGATTTCTGTGCAGAGCCTTCCTGCTAGGTGATGAATTTTCCACACAGGGTGTAGACTTTGACAAAACTGTTCATCTTGTCATCACTCACATCATTATGGGAGATCTGAAGACATCAAGTGGTCCTCTCAGAGCCTTGAATCAATGTACTGTCTATTTTTCTTTCCTGATTACCAGGACTGAGGGCTCCCCCAAAGAACTTTGAATTGTGCGCTTTGAGAGCCCACCTGAGTCTGGGTACCAAGTAGCATGGGAAGTCCGGAAGATGCTGACTTTCTGCATCAAACTGTGATGGTAAGGGCATTGTATTTGGAGATGGATGGCTCTGGAGCCTTGGGATACCCCTCTGCAAGGCGGATAGCCATATTTCTTTCAGTAGCACACGTGTGTGTGTGTGTGTGTGTGTGTGTGTGTGTGTGTGTGTGTGTGTGTGTGTGTGTGTGTGTTGCTGTATGCCTGTAATCTCAACCCTCTGAGGCAAGAGGACCTCTGAATTCTAGGCCAGCCTGATCTACATAGTTCCAGGCCAGCCAGGGGTACATAGTGAACCCTGTCTCAAAAAAAAAAAAAAAAAAAAAAAAAACCCATGTAGATACCTAGTACTATACAGGATAAATCATTAATATTAATAAGTGCTGGACCCCAGAGAAGGCAGCAGCAGGGCAAGTCTGCGAGGGTCTCATTTCATCCAAAGTGTTTGGGTGTCGGGGACAGAAGTGGAGGGGCTGTCCAGACCTCAGCCCTGCCCTGACTGGGCTGGCCTGACCAAGGACACATCTTGGGTTTCACCATGGAAATGTAGCCACTTGTGGGGTGGAGGGCAGGCAGTGTTAGCTCCTCACTGGCCAGTAGCCAGCAGCGTGGGGTGAATGTGGTTCTAGAAGGCCTGTGGATAATACTGGAGGCAGGCTCCATTACCACTCCAGAATCACTGCATTAGCCATCCAGAGTGCCTCCGCCTCCACCCACAGTTGCTTTGCCCTTTAACTATTCATCGGGGCAGCGGCCAGTATGCCAGATACTTACAGGAAATCAGAGGAATCAAGTATCCTTTTATGGATTCACATAATCCATCTTTCGGCACCGTTATTTTCTCTGGTGCCATTATTTGCAATCCTGGGGCCAATATCACCATCTCTACTACTAGTCTACTACTAAGCTACTAGTCCCCTTAGTATAAAATTCGCTATGCTTGTAAGCTGCTTCACAACGTATAAAGTGTCTCCCCGGGCTGGGTTTCACCCTAGTAAAGAGGATCCCTGATGGGGGCCTGGGAGCACAGTGGTAGAGCGCTTGCCTACAGATGTCCTCAAGCGTGGTATAATGGGAAGGCAGAAGGCTGGTGCCCGAAGCTCAAAGGGTTTCAAAAGAGCACAGTTGTAGTATTTCTCTAGCAAACACATCCACCATCGCCTCCCCGCTTGCTGGAACAGGCCACAGTTCAGGCAACTTCCAAGGTTGGAAACGAAGAAGTGCCCTTTTATTCTACCAGAGAGGCTTGACCATGCCCAAGTCCCAGCACACTGGCTTGGAGAAGAGGAGAGTGGGTTTGCCATTGTAAGGCAGTGGCTTATACCACTGTTTCCCACATTTCACAGGAAGTCCTTTGAAAGACCCAGAGTTTTCCTTTTTTTTTTTTTTTTTTTTTTTTTTTTTTTTTTTTTTACTGACTTTAAATATTTGGCACCGTATATAAATTAACCTCATCCCTAAAGTGCACTGTGGGAATGTGTACCTTTAGCTCAACGGAAGAGCCTCATGTAGGAGACCAAGAATTCAGCAGGGCTAGAGACCTACCTACCAGGAACCCGGGGCTTTTGAGATTGCTGGAGTAACCAGCAATACCCAGAGAGAAGAAAGTGGCATTTTCGGAATCCATTTTGCTCAGGATGTTGAGGGCATCCTGGAGAAATCCCCTTTGCTACTGGGGCAAAAAGAACTTGGGGGAAGGCCGGTTCCCACCGAGATGCATACCGAAGGGAAGGCAAGAGGCCAAGTTTGGAGCCTGTGATACCTGAGTGGGGCACTTGGAACCCATGACTTGTGGGGCACACCTGGGTGCTGCCTCTATATTTTGAACCCAGGTTCACCGGGGAGCAGTAGCTTTCGCTGCCAGACCCGCTGTCTGTCCAGCCCCCTGTCTGTCCAGCCATTTAAAGTTAAGCTTTACTATGTAAGGGAAGAGACTCGAGATGACTATGGCCTTTGGAAGGCATCATCTTGAAAGTCACACTTTTTCTCAAGCGCCTCCCTTCCAGGTCTCCTCCCTAGAGCACCGCTGTCACAGGAGGGAGTCAGCGCCGCGGTGTGCCTCACCGGCGCTCTGGGACCCAGAGGGACTAGGTCGGGGGAACAGGGGACGCGTGGTCGGGCGGGGCCCCTAGAGGCCGGGGAAAGGAGGGGCGGGGGGCGCGGCGGGGCGCGGCTCACCTGCCAGGCTGTTGTAGCAGTCGATCTCGATGGCTTCAACCGTCTTGCTCTGTTCCTCGGAGAGACGGTTGGGTTTGGGGACCCCGGCCGGGGAAGCTGGCCGCGCGTCCCGCTCCCGCTCCCCTGGAGGCGGCAGCAGTCCCTTCAGCTCCAGCAACGCCCGGTGGTATTTTCCGATGGCTTCGCGGAATTTCTTGTCCTTGTAGCACTGCGCCCCTTGGCTCTTGAACTCGTGCGCGCGCCGGATGAGCTCCGCGGGCTCGGCCGCTGACCCAGCCTGGCCCCGCTCCGGGGCCCCTCCGCCGCCCGGGACGCACGGTGGTGGCGCGGCCCGCGGCCCCTCGCCCTGCACGGGCGGGCTAGGGTTCCCCAAGGCTCGGGCCGCCAAGCCCTTCCTCTCCATCCGGCCGCCGCCCGCGCCTGGAGCGCGCCGCGATCCTGGCTTTAAAAGCGCCGGGCGCTGGCTTCGCGCCCCGCAGACTCCGCCGCGGCGGTGACCCTGGGCGCCGCGCGCTTGCCCCGCACTCCCATCCTCGTCGCCAGCCGCCCGAGGCTACTCCCTCCTCCTGCGATCGCTCCCCCCTCCCAGTTCCCTCCCCCGCTCCCGCGGCGCCCGCCCTCGTCCCCGCCCTTCTCTGCTCCCGCAACCTGCCGCCGCTGGCTACCGGACCCTGTGCGCGCCTGGCCGTGGTGCAGGGGACAGCGGGCCTGACTAGGGTGGTGGTGATTGTCGCTGACCCGGAAGAAGCTGGGCTTGCTCAACGGAGGGGAGGATTAACGACAAAGAGGGCCCCCTGGTTCTCATTCATCCAGCCTTCTGAGGCGCGCCGCGGCCGAAAGAGGCAGTGGGGGAGGGGTGCGTGTGTGTGTGTGGGGGGGGAGAACGGTCGAGGGTGGGGGGACGGGGGTGGGGTCATCCCAATAGCTTTCTTTAGAACTAAAGAGAAAGGTGCGACGGGAAGCAATGAAAAATAGGCAGGAGCCATGGCTTGTTTTGTTTGCAGCAAGACATTACTATCTTAGGTGGCTCCCTCTGTGGATCCAGGTTGTGGCTGAGGTGTGTCTCCCGGGCGCCCAGGGTGCACATTGGCGTGCCGGGCGTTGTGTATTCCAGGAGCCTGTGTGTGCTTACGCTATGTGCGTGCGCAGCTATGCAGAATGAATCACAGAACTGGAGATGGAAACACCTGTTACTGTTGGTCATCAGGCTTGGCGGGCACAGGGTTCCAGTTTCCATTACTAGACAGTCCCGCGCCCTTCCTGGGGAGGTTCCTTTCCTTCATTCTTTCACTCAGCTGGAGCCTGGCTGAGGCCCATAGGCAGGTGAAAACAGGCAAGTTACTCCCCGCCCCCTGCACCTAAGAAGTGCCCAGTTTACTGCAGGAGGACACACTCCCCACTAGCAATCACTGGACCAGGCAGCGATTGGAAAATGTCACTGGGGAGGAACAGAAAGTGCTGTGGAGCTCTGAGGAGGCCTTATGGGGATAATAGCACTTGAGGACCCTGAAGGATGGGCAGGACTGAGGCATGAGGAGGTAGTAACATATCAACCAAAGCTGGGAAAGCTCATAGAGCTGTGATTTTTGACATCTCAGGTGTATTCAGGGCATAATGATTTGATTTGTGGCAGTGGGAGTGAGAAATATCCTGGAAGAATTCCAGGGGTTTCTGGATGAAGCGTTTGGGTTTGATTTATAGGCAGTGAAGAAGATAGATTCGTTTTTAGGGTCTTCATGCCTTTTATGATGCAAAGAGAGAAAAAAGATGCTCTGAGGTGATTGTCAAAGTGTGCTTCCCAGGTCTGCAGCATCAGCATCTCCTGGGAAACTATTATATGCAAATTCTAAGGTCCGAGTCCAGGCCTTCTAAAACAGAACCTCAGCCTTGGGTCCAGCAACCCGTGCTTTTGAAGCTCCAAGACTGGCTCAGAGATATTGCTGTGAAAGCCGCTGCTGTGAACGCTTCCTACTCAAAAGTTCAGGCCTTAGACCGGCAGTATCAGCATCACTCACGAGCCTGTGGGAAGTGCTGGGTGTGCACGATTCTCAACCCACTGACCCAAAAGGTGCACTTTAACAAGATTGGCAGTGATATGTATGGCTACCCGACTGACCTGCTACTCTGCACTAGAACTTTAGGAATGTACAGAAAACTGTCGACAACTCTCCAACCCCCCCCCCCCCCACAACAAGCTTCTACTGTTACCCTGAGACTCTAGGTAAAGCTTGTATTTCTGTTTAACAAATGTAAGTGCTATGGGACAATGTTTAAAATTTGTTTCCTTTAAAAAAAAAAACCCAACTTTGTTTTATGTGATTGAATATTCTTTTACTGCTTCCCTCTTGCAGTTCTGGGGGTTGAACCTGGGGCTTCATGCATTCTAACAAGTACCCTACCACTAAGCTGGGCCCCTATGCCTTATATTCATGGCTATATAATAGTTTATTGTATGTCTGTAGCATAGGGTATGGAACCAATTGTTTTTGTAGCCAGAGAGCTTTTTTACTGTACATTATGCCAGACACTGGATTAAGCACTTTATATATAAATCATTTAACCTTTACACCAATCTAGTGAAATAAGTGCTGTTCTGCAAATTTTGAACATCATGCCACAGAGACTTGTAGAAATTCTACTCCCAGTAAGTAGCAATTCTGTTTTTATATGGTTTTTTTGTTGTTGTTGTTTTGTGTGTGTGTGTGTGTGTGTGTGTGTGTGTGTATGGTTTGTCGAGACAGGGTTTCTCTGGAACTCACTTTGTGGACCAAGCTGGTCTTGAACTCACAGAGATCTGCCTGCCTCTCCCTCCCGAGTGCTGGGATTAAAGGCGTGGGCCACCACGTTCAGCCAAAAATCTGGTATTTGAACCCATACAATCCTGATCCAAAATCTCTTGCATCATTCTTTACATTTACTCACTCATTCTTTTGTTCTTGTTTATTTTTTTCCTATCTACAAAATTACGATAATTTTAAAGTGCTTGGGGTCAAATCCAGGGCCTCCTTTGTGCTAGGCAAACCTTCTACCACCAAACTACACACCCAGGAGAAAGTCTCGAGACATACTGTCAATTTGCTTTTCCTCCCTCACGTGTGGTATACATGAGTATACGTGTGTGTGTGTGTGTGTGTGTGTGTGTGTGTGTGTGTGTGTGTATACATGGGTGTGGGATGCAGGTGCTCATGTATGTGGAGGCCTGAGTTTGATGTGCGGAGTCCTCATTGGTTGCTTGCCCCCTTTCTCGTTGAGGCAGGTTTCTCAGCTGCACCCAGGGCTTAGGAAGCAGTTGGTCTGGCTAGCCAGCTTGCTCTGGGGATCCCCTGTCTCCGCCTTCCAATGGCGGTGGGCGGCTGGCACTAAAGGTGGCCCCCTCCAAGCCAACCTGGTGTTTACAGTGCTTTAATCACTAAAGCCTCTCCCCAGCACCCAGTTTGTTTCAGGCCAGCCTGGGCTACAGAGGTAGACCTCATCTTATTTTATATATATATAATTTAAAAGATGGGACAAACCTGTGCTCCCAGCACAAATATCATCATTAAACATCATCCTTACTAACAAGAGTAAAATTTGTGCAAATATTTTTGAACTTGGTGAATGAAAAACGTACATCAACTTAACTGGGATATATTTCATGCCTAAGGATGAGTTGTTTTCACATGTGTCGTTACCATTTGTACAGAACTGAAGCCTTTTAACTGGATCTGAGGTCGGGTAGACTGAATTATACCTTGTATTTTATAGAATGCTCCTTTCGTAAGCGCTCTATCATCTTTAACCCCGCGAGAGCCTCACGCTAGCACCACAGAGGGTAAAGAGCCTTTGCTTACACAACTTGTCTACAGTTTCCCCTCAAGTGAGGGACTCTGTTTGCTCAGTGGCTAAGAAGCTTTGAACTCAGGCCGCTGTGGGCTGGAATTCTATCCTGGCTGTTTCCTGGGCGAGTTGTTCAACTCTGGACAACCTCAGATTTCCTCACTCATTACGTGGGGGTGGGGGTATGACCCCACCGGCTTGTTGGGAAGCACAGTATAAGTGCTTGGCAGATGGTAACTGTATTATGCCTTAAAACCTACCGTGGCTGGATTCCATAATAATGTTGTGGCAGAACTCCAATAATTCATAATTATCTGCCAACTCCTGGCCCTTTTGATTTTCCAGCGGTATATCAGGTTGAACAGAAGGAAGAGGCTGACAGTGGGTGCTCTGAGATGCTACTGTTAGCCCTATGAAAAGGTAGAAAGAGCTGTCGATGACAAATATTGCCTAAAGATCCTTGGGTTTGGTAATGTCTCAACAGAAAGACATACTTTAGGTCACATCACTCACTTAAAGGTAAGGTTAGGGCTGGGGATGTGGCTCAGACAGCCAAGTGTTGGTTTGGCAACCAAGCCTGTGTAACCCCAGTGCAGAGGAGGAAGTCGGGAGGATCCCTGGAGCTCACTGGCTAGCCAGTCTAGTCCAGTCAGTGAACTCGAGTTCAGTGAGAGACCCTGTCTCAAGAAATAAGGTGGAGAGTGGTCCATGTTGGCGTCTGTCTTCCACATATATGTGTGCACGTGCCCGCACACACTACACATGTCTACCCATAAACACACACACAGAAAATAAAATAATAAAATTAAATTAAAAGGTCAGAATAACGACGTGACAAAGTGTTTTTTTTTGTTGTTGTTGTTGTTTTTTTGTTTTTTTGGTTTTTTTTTGGTTTTCCCCACTATGTCTTGTCTTCAATTTTGGACTTAAGGACAGAGCTTTAAGAAGCAGATAACCCGTGTGACATTTCCTTGCCTCTGATGCAGAACTTAACACAGGACCTTAGTACTCCTAGGAGTGAAGGGGAGCATCAGAGAGGAAGAGAGGGAAGACCATGAGGGAGGGAGGAAGGAAGGAGTTACTATGCCCATCTGTCCCATTTGGCAGTGCTGAATGTGGGTGCCTGGAATTATTTTATTTGCTTGTTTTCAGTACGCTTCTGTCTGGCTAAGCCACCCATTCGTAGTGTGTTCTAGCTTCCCAGAAACGCTTGCTTCCCCTCAGATGGAATTAAAGAAGTGCCAGGGAGAATTTCTCAAATATTCTTTCATTAATTATTGACCATATGCCGAGCATTATTTTAGGAAATGAGCAGAGAGTGAATTTAGGAGCTGGGAATTCAACGTTTCTCAGACTTTGACACATGTTTGAATTGCCTGATGAGCTCATGAATGAGCCTCTCCGATTCTGTTCATTTAGGGTGGGGTCAAAGTCCACGTTTCTAGTAAGTTCTCAGGTGTGCTAGTTCTGCTTGTCCATGGCGTACCCTAGAGAGGGCGGGTGTTGGAGGAAGGGGAAGCCTAGCTTTACCTTTCCTGGGGGTGGGGGTAGGGTTGGTCAGATTCCAGGAAATGAATTGGTCCACATTTAATAAGAGCAGAGGCACCAGCCCCCACTTAGTTTAGCTCTTTCTTCTACTTCATTTGGCTGGCACAGGTAAACTGAGTCAGGACCTCCTTTTGGGATCTGGCTACCTTGCTTTCTCCTCCTCAAGTACACAATCCACACATACTTTTTATTGCTTGCATTTCTCGCCAAACAT